AAAAATGAATTAGCTACTTTTACAGAGGAGGAAAATAGTCTTTTGTCCCATGCCTGCACTCGTTGGCAGCGAGCAGAGTTGCATTATGATGTATAGACAGGTCCTCCTCCCCACATCTGGGTTATACAGCAACCCATGTCTGGTGTATAAGCACAGTGATTCTGGCTGAGGAAGGCTTTCTCCAAGTAGTTTTATCATTTCTTCGCTTAATTTTGAGATTGGGTTGTCTTTTTAATGGCTGTTTAGAACAGGGGTTGGCAGATTACAGCCTGTGGGCCAAATTCTGCCCGAAGCCTTGTTTTGAATGGTCCACAGAGAACTAAGAATGTTTATTTTTTTTTAGTTTTTAAATTTTGAAAAATATCGAAAGGAGATTTCATGAGACATAAGAATAAAATTCAAATTTCAGTGTCCCTACATAAGTTTTTATAGCATCACGGCTATGCCCATTTACTTACCTAATGTTCACAGCTACATTTGTGCTGTAGCTGCAGTGATGAGGCATTGCAAGAGACCTATGGCCCACGAACCTAATATTTATGTCACCCTTGACAGTAAAAATTTGCTGACTCCTAGTTTAAAACCTCATTAGGAGAATTTTTTTTTTTTTTTAAACGATGGACACTTTGTTAAAAACAACTGGGTGCAGGAGATTATAGTTGAAATTTTGTTAAAGTTCTGTTGAAGTGCCCATATGCCAATTTCTGGATATCTTTAAGAATGTACAAAACACAATATGTTTCCAAAATATCTATTCTGCGGATTTTTAAAGAAGTATAATACTCCTTTTATAAGTAAAAGTTAATGTGAGTTATTTTTATGCTCCTATTGTACCTGATTTAAATTCCTTTATTATAATGGTATTATGGCAGGAATGTAGGTTTCACCGAGACCAAAACCAGGATAATGACAAATTGTTGGAAAGTGTTGCTGCCTCACTGTTAAACACAAGCAAACCTGGTGTTGTAAAACCCAGAAATTCATTCTTATGATCCCTCTCCATTTAATCTTTTATTATTTGGAGTCTCTGTTCTTTGTCCTCTTGATTATACAGTGTGGCAAGTGTGCATTTACAGCAGGAGTTTGTTAAGGTGGTTGGAGAGAGAGGAGAGTTGTACTCAAAAATGCTTCCCGCACTTAGATGAATGAAAGACAGATCCCCCCACACCCAGCCCCCAACTCATCTATGCCATACTCCTAAAATTCATTTTTGTTCTTGCCTTCCACATAGACCTGATGGTGGTGAAAAGGAATATTTTTCAAGATCACAAATCTATGGGGTAAATCAGTGGATGTTTAAGATTTTTAATTGCATGAGCAATAAATTCTTGGTAGAATTACAAGCACTCTGAAATCTGCCTAACATGCTGATCAGTATTATTGGAGACACCAGAATGGCTCAGGTCCACAATGCTTTGAAAGTAGAAAAGGCTATTTTTTTTTTTCCCCTTAATCTCCACAGGAAATATATAACTCATACACCTCTTAGGCTTATCTAAACCTCCAACTTGGGAGGAATTAGGGAATGTGTCATTTGGTATACTGCGTATTGCAGATTATCTAAGAAACCACAGCTCAGATTTAACCTGGAAAATTGCAGGGAGTTTTGTATCTTTAAAAGCAAAATGTATATTTAATGCTTTACATGGTGCATTGAGGCACTTACAAAATGCAGATGAGCCCAGATTTTCACTTTTAGGAATCAGATTTCTACCTGGTTCATTCTTTATGCATTAAACATTTTCATAATGCCGCTTGCTGTGTACAGCCCACACGCTAGTGGTGTAACAGCCTTTTCAGAATGTCTTACATCACCAACAATAGGGATGGAACTGAGACTAGGGTGAGGCTAGAGAGAGACCTAAGGTGCAAAATTGAAGGAGGTACCTCCCTCACAGGTGCAACTTGCAAGATCTTTAGGTTTAGTGTCTTCTTAAATTTCATACCCTCGAGATGCTTCTCTAGTTTTGGCCCTGATCAGGGTTTCTTGAAGGTGTTTTTAAAGAAGCACATTGCTGGGTCAGAGCCTTAGCCTACTGAATCTCTGGAGGTGTGGGGCCCAGGAATCTGCATTTTAACCTCTTCCCATAGTGATTTTAATGCACATTGCCATTTGAGGACCCTCTCAGTCCCAACAGGACAAAAGCTGCTCCAGTAGCCTCAGGTTATGACCCACCTGGGACAGTAGCTTTAAAAAACTGCCTAATTAACCGGCATACAGGAAAAAGTAGGCCAGCCGGACTGCACCACTGCCAGCCATGGCCATTGTATAACTGCTGCCAGGTGTCCCGCTAGAAGGCTTGGATCTTGGAGCACTTGTAACCGAAGCTAAATGTAATTGATTATGTGATTTTGAGCTGTTCCAACTTTTTAATTAAAAAATGTCTTATAGGTTCATTTTTAGCTACCAACTATCTATAACCATACTACCTAGAGATAACCATTGTTAACATCTTAAGGTATCTTTTCAGACTTTTTTTTTTTTATTATTGAGTCAATATTTAATTCCACAACAAATCTATCACATAACATTATGGCCATTAGGAAAAGTGAGTGATAAAGGGAGTGTAGGTATGAGTAAATCTGTTATGAACTTGATTCCCATTTGAGTCCTATCCAGATAATCTCTGTCATCTATGTGTAGATTCTCCTCACCATTAATCTCAGTATTAAAAAAAGTTTTACATGGCCAGGCATACATGTGGATTTCTTATCTTATAGGCTTCTATTGCAAGAATCTTAGAAATAGTGCCCCTACCTAGGAAAGTCACCAGGCTGTTCTCCCAGGTCCCTTCTTGTGAATCCTAGAGACTTGTTTCATTGGGTGGGATCTTTAAGCATTCAACAGCTCTTACTGTGTGTCTGCTGTGGGTCAGACTCTGTGCTAGGAGTTATAAGTACAATCAGTAAGGTGTGGTTCTTGACCTTGAGAACATATAGTCTGATGGAGGAGGCAGATCAAGGTCTTGCATAGCAGTGTCAGGTGCTTTTTGGGATAGGGAGAGAGACCAATCAGCTTGGCTTCAGAGAGTTGGGGGTTGCTTAGAAAAGGAGGTGTCACTTAAAAAACTGAGTCCAGAGAGACCCACCGTATGGTGCCTTGCATTCTCCAGCAAATAGCATTCTCCTCCTAAGGGTCCACTGTTTTTTTGTGTTATGTCCTACTTTTCAGCCCAATCACACAGTTGCCCATGATAATTAAATGAAACTTGCCAGATGGATGCTTTCGCAAGACGATGGCTCGCCTTCTTGCTCTATTTGTGAAAGCTGGCATTGGATCCAAACTCTCAAGGATGCCCCTACCTTGAGATTGCTTTGGAGAGTTGCTCTTTTGTGTGTATTAGCCAAATGGCCTGCCCATCAGCAGGGCCAGGTTGAGTGACATGTGGGTGTGTCATGCATGTGGACACTCTGATCTCTGCCAACTCATTGTGCCTCCAAGGATGGTAAGATGCTGAGAAGTTGTTCTTCAAAGGTGTTATTTGTCAGCGTTACCTTCTTTTGGGAAATACACTTCCTAAGCTTCTGATCTGTCAGTCTCCTTCTCACCACATCTATTTTATCTACCAGTTGCAACATAATCGATGTTAAATTCTTAATGCATCAGGTTAAAACACATAGAACACATTATCAGACTATCTTAAAGAAGCAATTTTTAGATCATTGAAGACAATATCTAGAGTAGCAAATACACTTAACTTAATCTGCAGCACACTTGATTAACCAAGGAGAGTGGATACTCTGATTAGAAAAGAATAACTGAGTCAGTAAATAATAACTGTATTGTTTCATTTCTGTGAATCATTCTTAGTTCTTTGAATGCTCCATTTCATTTAATTGTCTCAACATCCCTATGAAATGGTACTGTTATTATCCTCATTTTACACATGAGGAAACAGCAATTTAGAGAGAGATTCAGAAACTTAATCAAGGGCAGAGAACTGCTAAGCATTGGGAGCTGGTGTTCAGATCTGCCAGATCCCGTAGTTCTGGTTTTGCACTTGGCACAACCACTGCTGAACCTTCAAGGGTGCAGGGGTGAGCACGTCACTGCCATCCCTGCCATCAAGATGCTTACAGTTCAACTTACTTCTTCCCAAAGAATTAGAATCCTTCAAATATATTGCTATTAGAGTAACTGAACACAGTTCACCTTCCTTTCACTTTAGAAAGTTTCAAGAATTTGAAATTCTTGAATATCCGTTGATTGTTATAGCTACACATAGAAACGTCAAATTAGAGTATTCCTACATACAGTTTACTTTTTTGGTGATTATACTAAGGTACAGATAAATGTATGAATAAAATTCTTGGACTTTTTTTTTTCTTATAATTTTCTGTCCTTGTTTTGCATTTGAAATAAAAATTTGGAGTTAAAATCCTATATTATTTTAGTTTTATGTTTTCACTTCCCTGTAAATAAGGTGATTCAGCACTGCCCCTTCCATCCCCCCAAAAAAGAGAAAATTCATCAGAGAGAGTGGGGCCTTTTCATTTCCTGTATCAACTTCTAATTTCATCTATTCCAGTTCCCAAAATAACTTGAAATTCCTATGGCAGGTGCAGTGACTTGAAATCCCATTGGTGGGAATCCTTTAAACAGGATTTCCAGCTTTAGAACAGTTTAGAATGCTAGAGTCTTGATTAGAAGCAATCTTTCAGATTGCCCCTCACTGGAAGCCCTGCTGGGTGGCCCTGCAACCTCTGCTGCAGCCATGTCCCAGGACAGAGAGTTCTTAAGACCTCCACATTTGCAGGGTGGACTGTCACCCTGCAGCTCTGGGGCTGGGCAGCTGGAACTGTGGAACCTGTTTGGGTGGCCCCTCAAATCCGCCTCCTTGTACATGCCTCTCACTGGTTCAGATTCTTCCCTGTGAGTAACATGTTCCCTCTGGCTCCTCAGCAGCCTCACTGTGTTCTGAGGATTAGAAAGATCGTGGAGCAAATCTTGCTGAGGTTCTTCAGCAGTCTGACATATGGCAACTTCTCTTTCCCTGCAGCAAAACCAGAAATCCTGACTTATGACAGGCTTGTGAATGGCATGCTCCAGTGTGTGGCTGCAGGATTCCCAGAGCCCACAATAGACTGGTATTTTTGTCCAGGAACTGAGCAGAGGTGAGATGATTATTTTTGGCACTGCTTAAAATGCATGAGGGAAGGACTGCAATTCACTTGAATTTCAAGCGTTTTCATATATTTTTTTTTAAAGCTTTGTTTTGCTTATTATTTTGTTCTATCCATGTGACTTTTACAGGGGATAATTGCTGTATTTTTCCTTGTAGACATTAATTTTGTTTGCTAAAAAATGATTACTAAATGACTTCTCTATTTTGGTAGCTATCTTTTTGGATTTATCATGCAATTTCTAGCCTGCAGGTAGGTAGAACAATTTTCCAGGACAGAGTAATTAGATTTCCATTCTATACACAGGAGGTAATGTGTGTGGGAAATGTGGCTGTAGTTATCATGAAAAAATTACCCCAGAAGTTAATTGCCAAGTTACCAAAAAGTAATGATCATACAATTACAACATGCATATGGCGTTTGTAAGCTATGGGTTTTAAAAAGGTTTTCTCCTTGATTAGGTGCCCAGCCCCTGAACAGAGAACATCTGGCATTGTGCTGCTTCTCCTCTCAATCTACACTTAGGCTTTAAATTGTCCTTTCGCATTACCTGAAGATGAAAATGGGGTCAACGTTGCTGTTTTTATCCATTAGATGCTATTTTATGCTTGGCTTTAAAATCACAGTTTACGATCACAACTGAATAGTCAGGATGATAGTGGAAATTTTATTTTTCATGGACCAGACCTCTTTATCACAACATGTTAAAGGAGGTTACTCAGGATTGCTCTTTTTGGCTGAGTTGTAGTAGACTGTTGTCTTTGGGGGAATAATAAGGGTTCAAGATTCCTGGAAAGGAAGCCCACAGTGGAAGCAACCTCAGTAGTTGGTCATTCATTCAGCAACTATGTAGTGCCAACTGTGTGCCCAGTTCTGTGCTAATGAACAAAACTCACCTGAGTCTCTCGGCCTTTATGAGTTTGTATCCTAGTGGGTAGAAACATACAGTAGACAGAATAAATGACTAATGTATGTAGGTGTGAAGAAGGGTATAGGAAATGGCTAGACATTTAAAACAGTGTAGTGGGGGCCAGGCTTATGAGAAGGTCCCTCACAGTGGTCGTGGTCTTTGCCACCTGGAGCACAACCGGCACCTCCCTGCCTAGAACCTGGAACCTCAGGGGCCTCGCTGGTGTGGTTTTGAGGGTCTCCCTGTCCTCGTCCTTACAGATTTTTCATATTTCCTCCTCCACACTCTTCCTTTTCAACTGTTCCTTTATAAGGCTCTACTCTGTGCCAGGAGCGTGCCAGCCATTTTATGTCATTCTTTGCTAATCCTTTAAGTCACCCTCCCAGATGGGTTTACCATCCCAATTTTACAGTGGTAGGAACTAAGTTTTGGAGCATTAAGTGACTTGTCACATGTCCACAGCCTCCTCCCCGGTTTCTTTTCTTACCCGGTGCTTTTCTCACTCACTGTGCCACAGAAGTGCTCGTTCTTCATCAGACACTGAGGGTTGTGAAAGGAGGTTTTTACTGATTATAAACCTGTAACTTTGTTTTAAAAGGAAGCCAAATCCAAAGTATTTTGTGTATTTATATATTTTCCTAGAGTAAGCCTGGGCTGTTGTTTTCTTCCCTCTTAGATGTTCTGTGCCTGTATTGCCAGTGGATGTGCACATACAAAACTCATCTGTGCCACCGTTCGGAAAACTAGTGGTTCAGAGCTCCATAGATTCTAGTGCATTCAAGCACAATGGCACGGTTGAGTGTAAGGCTTACAATGATGTGGGCAAGAGTTCTGCCTATTTTAACTTTGCATTTAAAGGTAACAACAAAGGTATATTTCTTTTTAATCCAATTTAAGGGGATATTTAGGCTCTGTCTACCATATCAGTCATGATTTTAAGTTCATTCCAACATTGGTCATGTCATTTCTGGTAATAACCTACATCATACCATACAAGTACTGTCTTCAGCTGTTTCATGTCTAAGTTTCGTCTCATACTAGTTTGTTAATAAAGCTTATGCTTTTACCATGCTGCTTTTTATATACCTTATGTGAGTGTGTGTCTCTCTACATATATATATATATATATAATTAATTGTATATTTATAATTGTTTCTATTAAGAGGGGTAGAGAAAGCAAAGAGGAATGTGTTTACCTTACATGCAAACAGACTTAGAACAATTTAAGATTAAAATTTAATTTTAAATTTTAGTTATTATTAATATGAGTTATTTTAACACTTAGCCAGACACTATATCAGAAAGTTAAGTGCCTGTTTGAAGTCATCTCAGCAAGCTAGAATCTTTAAAATTTGATTCATGGGTGAATCTAGTTCTTCTAACATAAGTTGAATAGATTCTTGTGGATGAATTGGTATAAAGTTAGAAAACAAAGAAACTGGGCACTCAAGTGTTTAGTGCTTGGTTTTTTGGGTTTTTTGGTTTTTTTTTTTTTTTTTTGAGTTGGCAAAGACTAGTGCCAAAAAGTGCTGTATTTTCTGTTTTTGAGTAATGAGGAGAAGAATCTTACATTGTTCTACATCATCGATTTTCCAGACAGGGTGATGAAAAGAACACTTAAAAATGTTTTTCTTAGAATGGAAGACATTCTATATTTGTAGAAAATTTGGAAAATAGAGGAAAGCATAAAGAAGAAAATATAAATCATCTATAAAGGAAGCTTCTTTGTAAAGTTGTCCAAGGCAGGAATTTGATTGAAATACGAAGTTCATTCTGATGTTGCTTTTCATTGAAAACAGCATAAAATTATTCTTGTCCTACAGAAATCTCAACTTTTCTTCCGAAGTAATACGCTTTAAAGTTATATTTTTAAAGATGTATTTAAATAGCAAGAGTAAGGTATAACCAAGGCATGGTTCTGAGACTCATAGCTTTGTGTCCTGCCACGGGCTGTAAGAAGGGAGGTGGGCCAGTTTGGGGATGCATGATTGTGGCAGAGATCCTTTCCTGCTAATAGTTTGTAATTCCATATTTCTCTTTCATTTTAGAACAAATCCATCCCCACACGCTCTTTACTCCTTTGCTGATTGGTTTCGTTGTCGTCGCTGGTATGATGTGCATCATTGTGATGATTCTGACCTACAAATATTTACAGGTAACCTTTTATTTGTTCTCTCCCCTGAGTGCTATAATGACTGAGACATTAATCATTAAAAGGTGATATATCTTTCCCTTTCTCCCTCCAGAAACCCATGTATGAAGTACAGTGGAAGGTTGTTGAGGAGATAAATGGAAACAATTATGTTTACATAGACCCAACCCAGCTTCCTTATGATCACAGATGGGAGTTTCCCAGAAACAGGCTGAGTTTTGGTCAGTATGAAACGGGGGCTTTCCATGTGTCCTTTTCATGTACACATAACAGTGACTTTAGGGAACCTGGATGGCTTCCTTTGTGTTATTCCACCTGAAACAATAAGTGTTTTCTGTGAAATTTTTACCACCTTTGATAGGTTTCGCAGAAAATAGTGTAGGGAAATGTCTCTAGACAAATTTATCTTTGTTAAGTCCTTTGTTGATTTTCAAATTACGCAAATGGTCGTCCTTCATTCCTACTCTCACCACTACCTCTCACCTTGTTTTCTTCCTTTATGCAGGGAAAACCTTGGGTGCTGGTGCTTTTGGGAAAGTGGTTGAGGCAACTGCATACGGCTTGATTAAGTCAGACGCGGCCATGACTGTCGCTGTGAAGATGCTCAAACGTAAGTCCCTGTAGGCTGCTGCATGCGCTCAATGGCAATTTGCCACATTTGTTTTTTGCTAAAATAAGATGTTTCTGATTTTAGCAAGTGCCCATTTAACGGAACGAGAAGCCCTAATGTCTGAACTCAAAGTCCTGAGTTACCTCGGTAATCATATGAATATTGTGAATCTTCTCGGAGCATGCACCATTGGAGGTAAAGCCATGTCCACATCGCCTTTTATAATGTGTCAAGTTATCAAAAGAGGAACACTTTAATATGATTTTGGCAGTGGTTGATTACTAACTGCTTGCAAGATTTTTACCCACATTATTTTTCTCTCTTGCTAGATTTTGTTTTTCTGTATTGTTAAGAATGTAGGTTTTGGCTTTATATCCTGGGGTGGAACAGCCCAGGACATATGCTAGTTGCTGTCATGTATGTTATTCAATAACATTAACCTCTTGAACATCTTGTCTTGACTAGAAGGCTTATTTTGTGAGTTTACATAGTGCCAGATTGTATTTAGTCACTAAAGGGTTAAAATCATTTGCATACCATAATTTAAAATAGGCCCCTAAGTCTACCACTTCTCAGATATACACCAAATGAGGCAAACATTTCACTTCTGTAAAAATGAATTTCCAATTCTGAAGCCTAAGTCGAGGTTCCCATCAAGGATGTCTGTGAACACATTTTGTTCTAAAGGAACAAAGATGTGTAAAATGAGCCGTTCCTCGAGATCTGGAGAGATCCACGGTAAAGTTGACAGCTCCTCGAGATCTGGAGAGATCCACGGTAAAGTTGACAGCTTTATATAATGTCTGAAAACAACCCCCATAAATGTTGCTTTACCACATCATGAATTGTTCATGAGAAAATTTCTACCCAAGCTAATTAGTTGCCTGTTACTTCAGAGCTTCAGTTTTAAGCATTCATGACACCAAAAAATACTTGGACTCATAGTGCTCAGAATCCAGGTCATTTCAGGTTTTCACCCACTTTCCAGTCTTGTCTCAGCTGGCTGTTCCATGTGGTTGGTTTTCCTACTATGCCACAATTTGTGCTCTTCATCATTTCCATGATAACATTACGGAGAGTACGTGAAGCCCTGCTGTAAACAGAAGTGAATCAAAGGATTCATGTAGGAAGCTTGATAATAGTAGAACCTTTGAAAGCAGTAACTTCTGTCTGTTAAAACCAGCAGTCACGCCTGGCCCCAAACACTAACATCACTTAGAAATTAAGGTAAAAACAGGCTTGCTTGTTTTATTTTACTGTATGTGATGCTCCTTTGTTGATAAGCAATGTTAATAGATAGGATTGTATTGGGACTAAGTAAGCTTATCCATTGAAGCCGAATGTTAATGGCCATGATACCCTTGGGTATTTATGCAGGAGGCAGACTTATCTGTATATATCAGCTCTTCCTAACCTTTTCTTATATGCTTGTAGGGCCCACCCTGGTCATTACAGAATATTGTTGCTATGGAGATCTTTTGAATTTTTTGAGAAGAAAACGTGATTCATTTATTTGCTCAAAGCAGGAAGATCACACAGAAGTAGCACTTTATAAGAACCTTCTGCATTCAAAGGAGTATTCCTGGTAGGACTGATTTACATAAATCGTCAGCTGTTGGCAGGCAGTTCGTGGGGTCATAAGGGTTTGCAATCAAGGTTGATTCTTTAAAAAATGAACTGAGGTACTCTGAGGTGCGAAATCAAAATTATTAAATCATTTAAATGTGATTAACAGTTTAGAAAGTTCAAGTAGTGTTTTTAAAAATTCAAGTTGTGTTAAACTTAGATTTTTGCTGATTTTTAAAAAATGCATCTTTAGGGTTCCCCCCACCCCCAAGCTTTAGTTCTATGCAACTGAATGAATTCTATACCTGTTTCTCTTATCGTGGTTTCGTACTTGCATGTATTTCCATACTGTTTAGCTTAGTGCTATATGCATCTTTATAGTGAGACACTATTTATAGAGAAAATGCTAAAGCCTGTCAAGTTGTCATAGTAAAGTCCTTTAAAACCTTTCGCAGACTGGCAAAGAGCTCTGAGCACATCTCCACATGTAGGCTTTTGCCACCTACCTCTGAATTATTTCTATATACCTTCCCCCCCCCCCTATCATCATGATGTAAAGAGGCATAACTACTCTAGCACGTTTTTAAAAAATTTTGGATCTTATTCTCATCTCTTTCATCATTGTTACCATTTTGAAATTAAATGATGTATAAAAAGCTTCAAGTTCTTAAGGAAAATTAGTTTGTTTTACAACTGGAGTAGAATTCTTCTCTGCCGTACCATATCTGTTCTTTCTTTCCAAATGCCATTAAGATCCACCACTTAAGAAGACTTCCTAGATTCACCCAGCCCAAGAGAAATTGTAGGTATCATACCCAATCCGCTATACTTTATATTGCTGCAGCTGTGTGGTGGATTTCTCCTCTCCTTTTTTATTCACTCGATGTCCCCTACATTTTGAGATGGCAAGACTTTGTCTTCTGAACTCCTAACACTAGGCCCTCGAGGAGACCTCAGTAAATTTTTTTTCTTCTCTGTCTTCTCCTCTCCTTTTTTATTCACTCGATGTCCCCTACATTTTGAGATGGCAAGACTTTGTCTCCTGAACTCCTAACACTAGGCCCTCGAGGAGACCTCAGTAAATTTTTTTTCTTCTCTGTCTTTTTTTTTTGGTGGCTGGCCAGTACAGGAATCAATCCCTGGACCTTGGTGTTATCAGAACCACACTCTAACCAGTTGAATTAACTGGCCAGCCCCTCAGTAAATATGATTGATGGGCAATTACCTCTTAAAGCCATTTTCTGTACCTCTGGCTAAAGTTTAAAATCCCAGGTAAAGATTGTACATATTTTTTAATCCTGTACACTTAAAGAAAGTAGTAAAATACTGTACAAACCATCTTTCATTAGTTTCTCCTGAGCATATGCTCTTTATATGAAGAAATGAGCTGTTCTGCCTTATTTTCTGAAACCTTGGCCATATATATATATATATTTTTTTTTTTTTTTTTTTTAAACTTTCTGAGATAATGGCTTAAATTGTTCAGTCCTGTGTGATGTTCTTTGTGGCTTTGGGATCCCATATGGGATTGGAACCACCAGCACATTCTGAAGGAGATTGTTGTCATGGTGTTTCTATGCTAATCAGAAGCAGGAAGTACTAGAAATCTTGAAGAATCTCCAGCCAAATGTTGCAGATTCAAGAGGTCCAGATGGTTCAGAAAATCATCCAAATTATTGGTGTTTATCTGAACCAGACTTGGTTTTTTTAAACCTTTTCCATCAGTTGCTACATGTTAACGATCTCTGCCTTCCCCGTAACACATCTCAGAATCTCGTCTTCTTTGTCTTCCTTTCATCTTATCTTTTGGGGCTAATTTAGAGAGTTTGAAGTAATATGGGGTAATATTTTGGCTCTGTTTCCCATTAAATCTACCATGTCAAGAGGTGGGGACATTTCTAACCTGAGTCCTCTCTGATTGAACACAAAGAGGACGTCTAATTCCCGGGGATTGAACTCTAATCTGATCCCCAGGAATATTAAAAACTCATGTATTACAGAACAAGATTTTCACTATTTGTTCAAACTTTGCATTACTTTTTTCAAATAAAATCAGTTATGTAACAAAGGGGGGTGGAGATAGAGCCCAGAGCCTGACTCATTCGTGCTCCCCTGTTTTCCACTTTATTCGGTAATGATTTGATGGATGTTTCATCTCTCCCAGCAGTGACAGTACGAATGAGTACATGGACATGAAACCTGGAGTTTCTTATGTTGTCCCAACCAAGGCAGACAAAAGGAGATCTGCGAGAATAGGTGGGTACCTATCAAACAACAAAATAACTTCATTTATGGAGGATATATCATACCACTGTGAAATATAATACCATTCCTGGTAGTGACCAGTTTTCCTTTACACCAGGGTCCAATGGCAGTGTCCACCACGGTCGTGGGCAGTTAAGGCTGCAAGTGGGTGCTTGGGGTCAGAGCATGTGATTTTGTATCTGAGCGTGCGTGCGTGCGTGCGTGTGTGTGTGTGTGTGGTGTGTGTGATTTTGTATCTGAGCATCTTTGTGTGTGTGTGTTTTGTATTAACCCACCATCCCTGTCCCTAAAGGATTTTGTAATGTAGCCCAGAGTTGCTGAATATTAATGCTCTGATTCAACACCTACCTTTCCTCAACACTGGGGAGGTGATTAGCCTGCAAGTACACATCCATTCATTCATTACCACCTTTGGTATTGTCGTTGTCACCGTCTTTTCTTTTCCTAACCTTTAAGGTTTTAATTGCTAAGAAAATTCTTCTCCTCCTGACAGGCTCATACATAGAAAGAGATGTGACTCCTGCCATCATGGAGGATGATGAATTGGCCCTAGACCTGGAAGACTTGCTGAGCTTTTCTTACCAGGTGGCAAAGGGTATGGCTTTCCTCGCCTCGAAGAACGTAAGTGGGGGTGATTCTTAGAAACATCAGAAGGATCTTTTTTTTTTTTTTTTCCTGAGAACAGAGCATTTTAGAGCCATAGTTAGAATGCAGTGTCATTTTGAAGTGTGGTAACCAAAAGCAGAGGAAATTTAGTTTCTTCATGTTCCAACTGCTGTCTCTTTGGAATTCCTGTTCTAATTTATAAGCTTTAAAGTGCAAGCCTGTCTAAATGAGCTTTCCATGAATATTCTTTTATGTGTAGTGAATTCACTTAAAATTTTTGGCTTTTACGATATAGGATATGCTCCTAGAAAATAGAGAAGATAATCATTTTATTAGCAAAAGCAGGGGGTACTTATAGTTGCCATGCTTGATGAAACATATCCTTGGGTTTTATTGACATTAGACCCCTAAAATTATATGTATGGCTTATGAAGTGTCAGGAAGTAAGTCAGAGAGAATAATAAGCATTTGGAAAAAGGATGGAAATGGGAAGAGAATCATGGAACCAAACAGTGAACATAGTCTCTGGAAGGGTGAGAGGAATTCTCTGGGAAATGGTACTAACCAAACAGAATGAGGTTACAGATCCTACCCTTAAGAGTCACTGGTGACATTTCTAAACAATTACCAAACTAAAAGGGGATATAGGATGGCTGAAATAAAGACCCTCTTCCTTGCATCCTTGGGAGACAACAAATTGAAGTTGCAAAGACATTTTAGAAACTCTCTGAAAGGACTTTCAAAGAGATGCATGCAAAATGAATTTTCAGTTTCAAAAATATTACACAACTATTTATAATGTATTTTCCTATGAATGCAAGCAGTCCTGAGAAGGAAAAGCATTTATTAGAAATGGTTTTGCAAGTGATTATAGTAATTAGGGCCTTGATAACGTGAAACACAAAATGTGAACATCATTCAAGGCATAATTTTGATTTTAATTTTTGGTGCACTGAATACTTTAAATGTAAAACAAAAAGTATTGGATTTTTATAATATAAGCAGCACTCTAGTATTAAAAATAGTTTTCACTCTTTAAAAGTTAAAATGAATTTAAATGGTTTTCTTTCCTCCCCCAACCTAATAGTGTATTCACAGAGACTTGGCAGCCAGAAATATCCTCCTTACTCGTGGTCGAATCACAAAGATTTGTGATTTTGGTCTAGCCAGAGACATCAAGAATGATTCTAATTATGTGGTTAAAGGAAACGTGAGTATCCATTGTCTGCTTCCCAATCCTGTAAAGGATTTTTAGTTTCAAGTTTTGATAAAAATTGTTTTCTATGATTTTCATAATGCAAGTCATACTTTGAGATATCATGCATGTTAGCAGTCAAATTAAGTATACTTCAGCAAAATTTGCATGGTATGCTGAACATTACTACAACTAACATTCAGTAATAGAATTCTTAATTCTAATTGTGTAATTATGGGGCATGTGAAGGAAACAGAAATAGCCTTAATTTTCATTATGGCCTGAGAATAGCAACAAATTTGATTTTGTTCAAGTGTAACAAATGTAGACCTGAAGGTCACAGCAGGAGAATTTGTTTTAAGATTGACATGCTGTGTGAAAAAGATTAAAATCCAAGATCATGTTCAGAGTTGGTTATGTAGAATGTTGGATCTTACAATCAGTAGAGAGCTCATAAGTAATGATAGGTTTGTAGAACATAGTGAATTTTTTGAGAGTGCTTTATTTCATTGCCAATTATCATTGTATTCTCTGGACAAACTCATGCCCTATAATGCAGCATCTTCACATTTTAAAAGTTGGAGAAACTATGGCACAGTATATTTTAGTGATTTTTATCTGAGGCTGAAACCAAGAGCCCATGGTTTCCAGAGCAGTATCCCATTAGTATGTAAAACTGCAGTGCCCTGTATTCTTCTATGCCTGTTTTCCTAGGCTCATTTCTACAGTCCAGATTTATTCCTCGAGGTGAATTTTTGTGTCCCTTATGATAATGTAATGTTTTCTCCTTCATCACTGTGGCATCTCTATTGGTAGGCTGTAATCAACTTGGTTTTGTAAAAGTCTTGCTGGGTTTGTCTCCTGACAAAAGCATGCATTTCTGAAAAGGCTCCCCCAAGGCTAGATATCATCATCAGGAGTGCTAATAAAACCAACTTGTCTTCATTCTGGTGCAATATTGGAAGGACTAAGGAAAAGTGGTTCATTCTCCAGGTCTCTGAACACTGACCAAAGGGCAAGAGGGAGAAGGTTGTAGCCACTGGACCTGGCCTTCCTGAGTTCTAATCTGCCTCCATCATTTGGTGGCTGTGTAATATTTGGCAAGAATTACCCAATACCTCTGAATCTTGGTTTTTCTCCTCTTGGGAATAATACTAGCACCTGCCTCATAAAGTTGTTGAGAGGATAAATGAGTTAATATATATAGTGCTTAGAACCGTCAGGCACATTCTTACTATTCTTTATAGATGTCTTCTTTGAAATCTAAATAATCATGATAGTGGTTATGTCATACTTCTTACTAGCTTGTTATTGGTTAGTGACTAGTTGGAATTGACAAGGACAGGTTAGGCCCCATCAGGCTTCCAGATTGTGGACTCCAGTTCTAGTCAGTTGAACTAACCAATTGCAGACATTGCTTTCACCAGGCTACTGGGTAAGGAGAATTTATGGAACAAGTTAAAAACAAGAAAACTCACCCATATCACTGCCCCCAAATTTATGTTGTAGTCATTTCAGATCTCCTTGGTGGATCGGGTTCTCTGAAGGTTCTTCCATTTTGCATGAGTTCTTAATCATTTTATGCCGTAGCCCCTTTCAGAGTCTGGTAAAGCCTATGGATACCTGTCAGAATACAATGTTAAATGCATAAAATAAAATACATAGGATTACCAAGAAAAGAAATTAAATTGAAATACAGTTATCAAAATTTTAGAAAGTAAATCTGAGATATGTCAGTACATGTGCTTTGCTATTACACAGAGTAACAGATTCTATCTGTGGTGCTAAAAACTAGTGGAAATGCAAAGTGGTGATGAATGTGAATATTATTTTAGGATATCTGTAAATAGCGTAATAGGATATAAAGATATCTGTGATTACTGTTGGTGACAGAATCACAAATACTGCTAGTATTACTATGGTTTCTTGCTTTCATTTGCGATTTAAGGAAATGTAAACTTTGTTCAGAAGTTAGTGAAAATAAGGATGTAATTTTTTCCCTTCCAAGTTCACAGGCCTCTGCAACTAAGACACCCATAGATCTCAGGTTAAGAGCCCTTATAGGGGCTTTTGCACAAAATCTGGGAGGGAATATTGGAAAGCTTTTTTTTTTTCTTTTAACTACTAAAATAACTTTAAGACTAGAAAAAAATTGCCTTCTCAGTTTTCAGTCCTAAATGGATTAAGAGAAGGATTGGTTTAGCTTTTTATGGTAGATTAAGATCTGGGAATCCAGAATGTCTTTAAGAGTCATGGTAAGTTTGGCTTGACTTTAGTGGAAAGAGTTCAGAATATGAAGTTTAGCTGTTGAATTTAAGCCCTGAATCTGCCACTTACACCTCAGAGTGATCATAATCACCATAAGCCATTACTATTTATTGAGCACTTGCCTATGTTGCATGGTTTTTTCAGATGTTAGTGAGTCAAGCATAAACATTTTTACCTACAGTATCTTATTTAACCCATATAACAACTCATGAAATTGGAAGTATTATTTTTGTTTTGCAGAAGATGACACTGAGGCTTATTTGCAGATATTTAAGTGACTTTCCCAATGTATTAGTGAGGGATAGTTTTGGCTGCATATGACACAGAACCCAAAATAAAAGTAAAAGAAGCCAAAGGATAGCAGGTCCATGGTTGGTACAGAGGTTCCATGAAGGCCTCAGGACCAATTCCTTCTACCTTTCCGTGTTTTGCCATTCCTGAGGGTAGCCCCCCCATCTTCGTGGTCCTCCATCCATCCATTCATCACATCCCAGGGGCAGGATGGAGGAAAGGACACTTGAGGAAAGAGGGGAGAGGGCACGTGCCAACTACGTTTTAAGTAGTTTTTCCTCAAGCTGCCATCTAACACGTACAGATTATTCACCAAAACTGAGTCGCATGGCTATAGCTGGCTGCAAAGGCTGTGAAATGTAGTCCTAATTGTGGGAGGCCATGTTTCTATTAAGGAAGAAGAGGGAAACATATTTGGTGACAACTAACAAATCTGCATCACTCAAGGCTAGTGGTGGAGCCAGGATTAAAATCTATGCCTGTCTGTCTCTGATGTCTGTACTCTTGATCACCATGCTATACTGACTCACTGTCCCCATCTTTAAAATGGGGATAATATAATTATGAGCCACATATTTCAGAGGTGGTTGGATCATCTGAGATCATACAGGTAAAAGGTGTTTCTGAGATGGTATCCAAATTCTCACCCCCACCTCTCAGCAGGAGCAACATCTACAGGTATATCTTCTGTTCACTTTTTTTTGAGCTTCTTAATTAACATGGTTGAATCTGTGCTTCCATGACAGGCTCGACTCCCTGTAAAGTGGATGGCACCTGAAAGCATTTTCAACTGTGTGTACACGTTTGAAAGTGACGTCTGGTCCTATGGGATTTTTCTGTGGGAGTTGTTCTCTTTAGGTAAAGTGATCCTTGTCAAAGACCCCTTCATTAGATTCAGAGTATCTTCTTGATGTTTTATTAGTTTCCTGCTTGTGATTAACACTGATTTGCAAACTGTGCCTCAGGAAGCAGCCCCTACCCTGGAATGCCGGTGGATTCCAAGTTCTACAAGATGATCAAGGAAGGCTTCCGAATGCTCAGCCCTGAGCATGCACCTGCTGAAATGTAAGGGCCAAGAAGTTTTTCCTTTAGATAATGTTTCCTCTTTTAATTTTCTTTTTGAAAATAGAAACCCAGGTGTTGAGGGTTTTCAGTAGCACAGTTAGACATGTCACTTGGTTCCTTTTTAGAACACCCCGGTCAGATGTCATTTCTGTATTTTCATAATCTCTTGTCACCAAAGATACAGAAAGTTTTGGCAACATTTCATACATACAGGGTTTTATTTTATGCATATGTCCTTACATATGTCCAGTTGCATAGCCCTGAAATTATTATTGAAGTTGTTGCGTGGCATACACCTGAAGACAGGTTAAGGGCATGAAGGAGTGATATAGTAAATGACTCTCATTTTGCAGGTATGACATAATGAAGACGTGCTGGGATGCTGATCCCCTAAAACGGCCAACATTCAAGCAGATCGTTCAGCTCATTGAGAAGCAAATTTCCGATAGCACCAGTCACGTGAGTACACTGTGGCCAGGCATAAGAATCCCCTTCTCCTGGTTCTAGGTGTGTCATCTTTCTTGGGCACTCTAAGCATGAGGACTAACCTCCCTTCCCCTCTATTCCTCTACTCCTTGGCTTAGGTTGTAAATTGGGTTTCAGATGAGGGCAGTAAAGCAATGGAAACCAATTCTTTCTGCCCAGCCCCCCTGTCCTGAGCCAAAGAAGGATGTGAGATGAGGCAGGGGGTGGGTGGAGAGCTTTGTGCTCAGAAGTGTAGAAGTAGAAGTTTCCATGAGAATTTACCATGTTTCCTCCCCCACCGCACCCCACCCCAAATGCTGGTCATGGGGTCGGTATATTCTCCCTCTCACATGTCAGGGCCATTCATCCTTTGGAGGGTTGGGGTGATGTGAGCTAGAATAAAAGCATAGAAAGGACAGCTTGTTACTGCAGGGAAATGAGCCTTCTGCTTAAACAAGCATAGCCAGAAAATGGCAGATCGCTGTCATGCCCACGAGCCATATATAATGAAGGGTTGTTTGAAGTTGGAAAAGCCCTCCCGGTGATTTGGAGAGGGGGAAATGAAGACTCAAATCCATTATTTCTTCTCCTGCTTTTAAGGAAGAATTAGTGATCCTTACTTTGACTCAGATTTTTTTAAGCTGCTTTTTTTCTGGTTGTGTGCTTGGAGCTCTCTCTCTTCTTCTCTAATAGCACACCATTGGTACTCTTTTGGGTTAAAGCTTGCTTTTCTGGGTGTCAAAGTATATTTCAAGTTAAACAGCATTTTCCACCCAAGTGCTTTGATTCTTAACAGGAGACCCCTGGGAGATCCATGGGTTTCCTCAGCAAATTACAGTGGCTATTGGGTTATAGTTGGCTACAGAGATTTATAAACCTTTTTCGTAGGTTAGATGGTTCTTGTTCCCAGACGTGTCCCACGGAAAGACTTGCACATGCTTTGCCACTACATCTTTTGTCAAGTGATGTCCTTGGGGAAAATGAGGGGAAAAACAAAGCTTGTATTTGTTTTGTCAATAGGATTTGGGTTTTGGCTGCAAAGTTCTTGTAAACCACCTCTCTTTATAGTTTTCACCAGTTATTTGCAATTTTGAAACTGTAAGCGTACCCTCTGTTGCTGTGTTCCTTGTTAGGGACTGGGGTATTGACTGTGCACTTGTTTTTCTCAGATTTACTCCAACTTAGCAAATTGCAGCCCCCACCAAGAGAACCCCGCGGTGGACCATTCTGTGCGGATCAATTCTGTCGGCAGCACCGCTTCCTCCTCCCAGCCACTGCTGGTGCATGAAGATGTCTGAGCAGAATGAGCATACGCGTCTGCCCTTCAGGAATGATCCCCATTCTTTTGGCTTCCATAATGGTTATTTTATTTTCCTTCGACTCGCATCCTACTCCAGGGTAGTAGTGGGCACCCCACTGTAATCCTGTCTTTATGAGCACACTTTAGTGGCCGATGATTTTTGTTATCGGCCACCATCCCATTGCAAAGGTTCGAACTGTATATATCCCCAATAGCAGAGTAGCACCCCTACTGTAGACAGAAAACAATTCTGATTTAGAGGAAGAGTGAGATGGGCTAGATGCCCAGAGTCCTTTCCAAGGCTTCTCCAATTCTGTTTGAAAACTGTGGTTGATAATTTATTTGAATAAATGGTAGTAGTCACATTTGGCCTTCAAAACGTTTCATAATGATGTAATGATGCAGCAAGATGAGAAGCTGAAGCCTCAGCCCTTTATATGGAAAATAGAACATTATTAGAACAAAGGACAGATGTATGAACAACTGGGCTTAAGAAATCTAGAATTTCATGCTGGGAATGAGATGTAGGTCTTAAAAAATACTCCCCAAGTATGAAAAAAGGCACTGCCTGGGCCACAGCACGAGCTTACATACTACTGACCTGTCTGGTTTTTAAATAGAATTTGCTATTAGGAGTTGAATTAGGAGAGAAGGCCTCCCCAACAAGCATCTGTATATATGCATCTATAAATTGTACACATTCATACATTTGAGAGGAAAACCCCACAAGGTTTAGTTTCTGTACACAACCCTGGTGTTATGTCTGCTGTCTGTAGGGATAAGTTAAGAGCCATATAAGTTTGAAGGAAAAAGTTAATACTTTTGTTGGTTTTTTAAAGAAAAACTGTAACTGCCAAGCACAGTCTTAACAAAATCTCCTCTTTTAGCTGATGAACTTGCTCATAGATTCTCTAGAACAAGCCTGCCAGCTTCAGAATAGCATTGTCCTCAATGGATTTGATGCTGTTCGAGAAAGTTAATGATTTACAGCATGAGAGTCCCACAGGAGTGAGAAAACAGTGCTGTCTTCCTTTGGATTCTTACATAGCAGGAAATAAAGTTTAGATTTAGCCTTTTTGACAGGCATGGCCTGGACATTGGGCCAGTATCTCTATAAGTGTGTATGTGTGTGTGCATATGTATGCCTGCAGACAAATATTTTGGGGAAGTGTTCTTGCCCTGAGTCCAAGAGGGTCCTTCAGTACCCGAGAAGTGACTTGGCTTTCATCATCAGTGTGCTCCTATTTCTCTCCACATAGCTGTCTAGAGTAGCTTACCAGAGCATACATAGAGGCACATAAGCAGTAGAGTGCTTAAGGAACTATTTATTTGCAATCCACCTGCACTTAAGGCACTCTGTTATTTATAGTTAACATACTGTACCCATTCCTTAGGCCGTATATAATGCTACTGTCCCACTAGAACGTATTTAAAGTCTACCCTTTAGGCTGTAGCCTGGATATTATTCTTGTAGTTCACCTTTTTTTCCTTCCCTTATTACTGCCCAATATAAGAGGTAAATACATACATGGCAAGGTTTCTGTGTTGTCTTACAAGATTCAGGTATGTTACCTTTACAGTTTCCCCCTCCTGCATCCTTTAGACTACATTAGAGAACTGTGGCCATGAATCTGGAAGTAACCATTTGCACTGGAGTTCTATGCTCTCGCACCTTTCCAAAGTTAACAGGTTTTGGGGTTGTGTTGTCACTTAAGAAATTGTCACTGTTTGCCATACTTTGAAAAATTCCTTTGTGTTTCTGTTGACTTTGATTATAGTAAAAGAAGTAGTTGTTAATTGTAGATGTCTAGGTACTTCAGGGGCACTTCACTGAGAGTTTTGTCTTGGATATTCTGGAAAGTTTATATTTTTATAATTTTTTTTTTTTTTTTTTTTTTTTTTTTTTTTTTTTTTTTTTTTTTTTTTTTTTTTTTTTTTTTTTTTTACATCAGATGTTTCTTTGCAGTGGCTTAATGTTTGAAATTATTTTATGGCCTTTTTTGTAAATATTGATATGTAGCAATAATGTCTTTTGAAAATTCCCAAGCTCATGAGTCCTTGAAAATATTTTTTATATATACAGTAACTTTATGTGTAAATATGTAAGCGGTGCAAGTTTAAAGGATGTTGGTATTTCATTTGTTTTTTCCTGATATGTTGTCTAATTGTTGACAGTTCTGAAGAATTCTAATAAAAATGTAAATATATGTCACATGGATTTCTTTGATTATTTCATGATTAGTGAAATTAAACTTTAAAGTATTAAAGTGCTTTCACCCTGACATTCAGAAGGTTTTGTACCCAGTTTGCATAAAATCCACTCAGGACTATCAGATTACACTGGGATTGATTGATTGATTGATTGATTTTTTTGGTGGCTGGCCAGAATGGGGATCCAAACCCTTGACCTTGGTGTTATAACACTGTGCTCTAACCAACTGAGCTAATTAGCCAGCCTGGGATTTACATGCTTGAAGATTCAATAGACATTTATTAGGAATTTTAGTATGTGCTTTATTTTCTCATTTTATTCCTACAACCCAGGGTCTCTATTTAAATTGAAAAATAGGACTGGCTAGTTAGCTCAGTTGGTTAGAGCATGGTTTATAACACCAAGGTCAAGGGTTTGGATCCCCATACTGGCCGTCTACCAAAAAAAAATTTTTTTTTCAAGTAAATGTAGAAAACATTGTGAGAAGTTTGCATATAGCTTTGATCATTATTAGGTTGATTCATGTGAAAATGACCCTTTTTGTCAGCAAAATAACAGCAATTTCATGTAGTCCAGTCTAATAGAACTGGCATGTTTCCTCCTAAAAGTGACTACCTGAAAATTCACAAGGTTGACATCAGGAATCCCAAGAAAGCGGTTTTGTGTTCTTATTGGCTTAGGTTTTGAAGAGAGATTTTTCATCACAAGATATTTATGTTCCACCCTCAATCCTTACTCTTATTTGCTTCTGGAAGAGTTAAGTTCTATCACTCACTTGGAAGGGGGTGCCTTGTGCCTGTTTGGTAGTGTCATGTGGCTGGAGCATGCTGCATGACCACACAATACTGTCCAGACCACTGGAACCTTCACAGAGGCTGAAAGTTATTCCAGCTTGACACAAAGAACCACCCTGAACCATGCTGTCCTATTAAGCATGAGTAAGGCACAGGCACCATCAATCTTTTAACTTCCTTAATTGACCTGACATCTACACCTGCAGAAGTGTCTCCTAAATGGAGAAGGAAGGGTTTGACCTGTAATAAAGAGGAATCCTTTTAAAATCAGCAGGGAATTAGTGTGGCCAGGAACACATCAATAATCAGTGAAAAACAGACCCTCATTTCAGTCAGGGAATTGCCATTATTTTGTTACAGACAGCAATGAATGCTAATTGACCACAAAACAAGTTGTTTCTTTTCCAGCGTTTTCACTCTCAGCCTTTTTCATGTGCGTCAGATCTTGAGTTGGAAACCAATGACGGCTCGTGTTGAGTCTAGCTAATTTCTCTCACCAGCCCAGCTCTTCACAGCAAAGTACTATCAGGTGCTTGGTGTCCAGGCTCAAACTGGGTTCAGATCTTGATGCCAGCGCTGTCTCTACCACTTACTGCTGTGTGACATTCGGCAGATCAGCTCTTGAAATCTCAGTTCCATAGTAGTAGTTTCTACTGCTAAGTATTAATATGAAGATGTCAAGACCACCTTGTTCCTGTGTGTAACACATAAAGAGTGCTCAAAAATGGTAACTTTTGTCATGGCTGATTAGCCCTATTGAAAGTGGCTTTGCTATAGAGACTTCTGTGATTTTACTACAATCCCATTTTAGCCAGGAATTCAAGGCTCTCCGGTTTTGCTCCAGCCTTCCTTCCAAGCTTCTGCCCATTGTTGTAGACCCATGAATATGCCCCATGCTCTTCTCTGCTCCCATCCTCAGACTCAATTCAAGGCTCTCCGGTTTTGCTCCAGCCTTCCTTCCAAGCTTCTGCCCATTGTTGTAGACCACGAATATGCCCCATGCTCTTCTCTGCTCCCATCCTCAGACTCAATGTTGTCTCTTCTCTCCCACAAGCCCCCATCTCCCAAGGTCAGTGGAATCACCTCAATTGGAGGTTGTCTCTGAATTCCCGTAACACTCTATTTATGGCTGTTACACTCGATTCTGACTTGTACAATAATTATTTTGGCTCATCTTAGCTTTCTCCCACCCCTACTATATACAGAATTAAAATCAGTTACCATAAAGTACCCATGTGTGCTAGAGTCACTGGCTTCACTAGTATCATTTACTTGTTTCTTGAATTATCCGGACAGGTTAAATTGCCCAAGAGGTTGCAAGAGGTAAGACTTGCACAAGTTCTCTTAGCAGTACATGGAGGCGGGATTTGAATCCAGATCTGTCTGCACTTCAGTGATAGCAAATACCTGGTCTTCCCATGCTTGCATCTGCTAGGGCCCTGTCCATGCAGATGTCACCCAGCCTAGCACTCTCCCACTGGGCCAAGATGCCTGGAGTCTCAATCTTCTCCGGGAAGCCCATACAAATCACTTGGAGTTAGCCTAAGACTTCCCTATCACCCTTAAATGGTTACCAAGTTTCCATTTTCTTGAGGTACAGGTGTTTTCCATCTCAGACTTCACTAAAGCTGCTAGCACAATGCTTCATGAGTGGTTAATGAACACTTTTCTGAACAAATGACATTAATGTGGGAATGAGGAAGAGCCATCCAGGAGGAAATGGATCCAGGAAAGACAGGAAATGGAAGAAGACAAAACTTTTACCCAGAGTGGGACTAGGAATACACCTTCATTTCACACTAGGGGTGGGGCTTTGGGGAGAGGGAAAGGGGAACCGGGAATGTTCCTTTGGGCAGCCTTTCCCCTTACTCCTTACCGAGGCCTGTGCAGCTCCGTTGTGGGAACAAGAAGAGAAGTAAAGAAAAGCAGGCTGGGGTAGATGGGGAAGGGTGGAGAGGAAGGGAAAGTGTGTAGAAGTTCTCTTCCCTATTCACAAGTGGGGAGAGGAGCCGAAGCTGCCAAGAAGTCTGTGGCCTTGAGGTACAGAAGCTGAGGACTGAAGAAAGACCAGGCCACCCAGCATTGACCTTGCAGAGGGTCAGCAGAGCCACTGCTTTCATGGGGAAACGCCCCTGCTAGAGAGGTCTTGGGACAGCCGGGCTTCAGAGAGTACCAGCTGGGCAGCCTCTGAGTGAACTTTTATAAAGGAAAGAAAGTATTGGTTTGCTAGGGCTGCTGTAACAAAGTACTTCAAACTGCCTGGCTTCAACGACAGAAATTGTCTCAGTTCTAGAAGCTAGAAGTCCAAGATCAGGGTGTTGGCAGGGTTAGCTCTTTCTGAGGGCTGTAAGAGAGTCCATTTCATGTCTGTCTTCTAGCTTCTGGTGGTTTGCTGGCTATTTCGGCATTCCTTGGCTGTAGATCTCTGCCTTCATCTTTACGTGGCACTCTCCCTCTGTGTGTGTGTGTGTCTGTGTCTAAATTTCACCTTTTTATAAGGACACCAGTGCTATTGGAGTAGGGGTCCACCCTATTCCGGTATGGCCTCATCTTTACTGACTACATCTATTAGACCTTATTTCTAAATAAGGTCACATTTTGAAGTATTAGGGGTTATTGTTATGATTTCAATATATGAATCGGGAGGGACCCAAATCAACCCATAACAGAAAGGTCTCAAAAACCCTTTTTATTGTAGCATGTGACCTGATCCTCACTAGAGTATGACATTGGTTCTCTGAAAACTCTTGAATGATCTCCAAAGTGCCAATTTCAGAGCCCTCTTTGCAATTATTCTATTATCTAGAACAAGGTTGAGAACATACCTGGCCCACAGCACACTCGACACCTGTTGAAGAAATGAAGTTTTATGCAAGGGGGGCAGCCTCGTCCTTGACACTTGCCTCCTTGCCAGCCTTCCCTGGTCCTCCTTCTCTCACATCTTCCTCCATTGTCCCTTTAAAGGTCAGACTTCTAGGGTTTGGTCCTTTAATGTCTTCTTTCAGCTGCCATGCTCTCCCCAAGCTCTGGTCTATCTCATCTAATCTCTGAGCTGTGGCTGTCACCTACCAATGGACAATTTCCAACTGTTTCTGGCTCTGACACCTGTCCCCTCATATATACTTGGGTTGCCATGTAAAATAGGGGACACCCAGTTAAATTTGAATATCAAATGAACAAATAGCATTTAACATAAGTACAGGTGGCACCAGCATTATAATGTTTTGACTTACAATTTTTTGCTCATATATACTTGGGTTGCCATGTAAAATAGGGGACACCCAGTTAAATTTGAATATCAAATAAACAAATAGCATTTAACATAAGTACAGGTGGCACCAGCATTATAATGTTTTGACTTACAATTTTTTGACTTTATAATGGGTTTATTGGGATACTAAATGCATTTTTGACATGATATTTTTGACTTATGATGGGTTTATTGGGGAGTAACCACATCAAATATCAAAGATCATCTGTATGTCCCTAGCAATACTTAGGACAGACAGATCCTAAAAATT